GACCTCAGGCAAGTCCTCCTACTGCTCTGGGCTTTGGTTCCATTCTGTGTCAAACGGAAGGGCTGGACTGGATGACCTCAAAGGTCCTGTCCATTTTAAAATGAAAAAAGTAAGGCTCATGATGAAAGTCACACCACGAGGAAGTGGCCGAGCTAGTAACTGACCACAGTTGTTCTGCCTCTAGGGGAGGGCCCCTGGCAGCACTGCCGTTTTGGTAAACACCGAGACTCCAAGCAAACATTCGACCAAGAATCAAGGGAATCAATCTGTAATGAAAAATAATGAAGAACTGGTACCTGTCACACTTTCGGCAGTGATGGGAGCGAGGTGCCTTATATGCCTGGCACGCCTTACAAAACTGGAGATACACGCTGTCCTGAGCTCTTTCCTTGGTTGGGAAAATAAGGAAAAGAAACATCACATGTTGGTACCTGGGACCGAGAGCTGAACACCTTCCTTATAGGCTCATAGGAACTAGAGCTGGAGGGGGCCTTGAAGGCCACCTAATCCAATGCCCTCGTTTTACGGAGGAGAGAAGCAGGCCTGGCTCTCGAAACTCACCACCCGATCAGCCAGATAAGCATTCAATAAGCACCTACTGTATGCCAAGTAGTGTGCCGGGTGCTGGGAACGTAAAGACAACAATGAAACAGTTGCTGCACTAAAGGAGTTTATGTTTTGCTTAAGGGAAATAAGAAAATAAATACAGAATAAATACAAAGCGAGGGGTAAAATGGCACAGTCGATACAGAGACCTGGGTTGGACTCAGGCCTCTGAAACTTACAGGCTACGTGTCCTTCCCATGCCTCAGGTGAGCCTCTCACTTCCAGACCACAGATCTGCATAGGTAAAGGGAGTTCCCTCACTTAGAGTGACCACACCAAGGCAATCACAAGTCTGGACCAAATACAAAATAATTTTAAGGGGAAGGATAGCACCAAGTGAGATCTCAAAAGGCCTCTGGCAGAAGGTAGCACCTGAGCTATACCATGTTTTCAGTCAAATATTTACCGGGGCAAATGGACCATTAGTTTTCATTATTTCAAATCTGAGTAGTTATTTCTGAATTTATCTCTATGACCAATATAATTATTACTTTTAATTAGACTGAAATCTTCCCGAGCCTCAATATTTAAGATATAATTTTAGCTGTCTTCCAATTTCTCTCTCCTGAAAAAATTCTTCCTATAATTTCTTGACTGTTTGCTTATTTCTCTGTTTTTCCAACTTCCTCATCTGTGTTTCCATAGCTTCTTTTCCAAGTGATTGTTTATTCCACTACTTAATAACTACTCAGGAAGATAATAATTGTTATAAAACACTGTTAAGTTCAATGCCCTTCACCAAAGAATCTTAAAACTTCTTATGTACAGTATCATTTTATTGTTTGTTTTTGTTTTTTGATTTTTTTTTTGGCGAAGCAGTCATAGTTAAGTGAGTTGCCCTGGGTCACACAGTTAGTAAGTGCCAGGCGTCCTGAGGCCAGATTTGAACTCAGGTTCCCCTGACTCCAAGGCCGGAGCTCTATCCACTGCACCACCTAGCAGTCCTATATACAGCATCTTAAATGAAATAGGTGCTTACTACACATATGGTGATTTGACATATGAAAATTTGTATTATTTTAAAGAAAATCAAAACTGATTTTATACCATATTTTATAAAGATTTATACTATTTAAACATAGTTTAAATACAATATTTAAATAATATAATAATTTAGGTAAATAGTTTAAAGAAAATAAATGGATTTTCATCATTAAGAAGTATTTAGAGCTTTTGGTCTTTACCAATTAGCAAAAAGGAAATTGTGCTTAATTTTTGTTTTTGTGATGTCACTTTTAATAAAGATAAAAAAAAATATTGACATCAGATTTCCTCTTTCAAAAAATGTCTTTTTTCTTACCGGTTTCCATCTCAGAGGCACATAGCCAGGGCCCACAAACATGGCATTGAAGTAATTGTAAAGAATCATCACAGTCCAATTTATCAACATGATGAAATTCACACTTCCTCCAGTTGTATGTAAAGGCCAATACCACAAAACTGAGTCAATCATGGCCATTGTAGAACATATTGCTATAACGCCAAGAGCTATAACAGGACCCCAGTGGCACAGTCTTTTTAACTCATGGAGATTTTCAAATCTAATAACTGAGCACAGTACACCCATAATGATGAGAGTTATTTTCTATTTTAAAAGCCTTGTAAAGTTCCTTTTTTGTATACACATTTCCATGTGTCATAAGTCCGTGGGTCTTCATTAATACTCATGCCTTCAAATTGTGGGATGCTAAATCTGAATAAGCCATTTTAACTGTATCTTGTTCAGAGCTCTTTGTCTTGACCAGAACAAGTGAATTTCATGGTTTTAAAACCAACCTAAATAAAACAAAATATAAATGTTTAGAAGAAAAATACAGAATATATTAAGGTAACTAGTTCAAAACATAAAGCCTGTAAATTCAGAATTTTCCTGTAATGCTATGAGATCTCAGTCTGGGAGAAACTATATTCATAACACACTCTCCTATAGTTTCTTTAATATCACTTAGATAATTTCGGAGTAGAAAGGGGCCCCAGTGATAATCTAATGACATAATTTTACAGATGGGAAAACTGAGGCAGGCGGAGAGGTGAAGTGACTTACTCAAGGTTACAGTTACTCATTCGCTAAGCTGGGTACAGAAATGAACTCTCCCCAACCAACCCAGGGAGGAATCTTGGTAATGAGTGGAATGACTGGAAAAATACCTAATGTTTTCTAGAATGGTTGCAGGAGGCAAAGCTAGAAAGTCTATTGCAGGCCTTGGTTTCCATGCCAATACTCCAGGGGAGAGGAGAAAGCAGATACCAGAAAGCTACTTTGTATTTGAACAGAGATTTTTATTTTAAGTATCTATCATCATCATCATAACAAAGGTTATGACAGGAATGAAAGGCAGCATAGCCCCAGTCAGGAAGACCCTGAGTTCAGATGTCACCTCTGATTGGCTGTGCATCAAATCCCTCAACCTCTGAGTGCCCCAGGCAATTATTCAGGCTCATAAATTACTGAACAGGTGCTGGATTTACATGGGTAGAAGGAGTTTCCCCTAGGACAGTTTCCTATACCAATGAAAGCAATTAAAAATTGGAATGCTATATCTAATGGCCAGTGACTAATTTTAGATCTGCAGATTATTTCTCTTTATAATATGAATAACTATCACCTGATTAAGCAATAATGGGTCTCAAATTCAACATGATCACTGAAACTTTAAAATGCAATAAACTGAGAATTGGGAATTTAAAAATCTGGGTTCTGGTTTAGACTGCCAATTGCCAGCTTGCCTTAACTCAATTTCATCAAATGTAAAATGATGGTACTTAACTCAAACTCTTTGGTCTTTCTTTGCTTTTAACATTCTACTAATCTGTGAAAATGTTATATAGTGCGACATGGACAATTAAACAATAATACAAAAACAGCACAAAAAGTGATTAAGAATATAGCAAGGTAACTAAATTAAATGAACATCTATTGAGTGACCAGTATGTCAAAGGTTGGAAAGACATAAAATTTTAGTAAATGACCAGAAAGAATAATAATTAAAGTAGTAACAACTATAGTCCCAGCCTCTAAATCAGAATGGTTAACCACACAGGTCCCTGATTTTCTGGGAGGTTTTTTGGAAAACTTTGTCAAGACCTTTTTGGTTTCCCAGCAAAGTTCACCGTGGCAACTCAAAACAGCTTCCAAAGTCACAGGCAATAACCAGTTTGTATTAGGCATTCAATAAACAAGGGCCTGGGGCAAAGACAGCAAAAACAGCAGCAGAGAAGTAGCCGAATGCACATTTGACCGGCAAACTTGGGCTCTGCCACTGTGTGATCCTGGACAAGACACTTCTCTCCAGTCCTCAGTTTACTCATTTGAAGAATGAGAGGACTGGCCTGGATGGGCTTTAACTTCTCTTCCAGCTCGTGAGTTGTATGAATTTCATTTTCGGTCATGCTATCCTGGGACTGCTTATACACTAACTTCTAGCAACATCCCCCAGCGACGTCCCACTCCCCTTCCAACATCAGCACCCATGGGGGCGGGAGGCTCAACGGGCAGGGATAGAAGCTACCAAAAGAGGGAAGGTTGGGGGATGGAGAGAGGCGGCGGGGAAGCTTTGGAGCCGAGGCTACGCCTCATGCGATCCACAGCCCGCGCGTGTCCGGGGGTGTAAAATGCTAGGTGGATGGAACACGTGCAGTTCCTCAGGAACTCTGCCTCATGCCTCGGTTTCCCCTCCAGCATCAACGGCCCAGACAGTCACAGATTCTCGCCCCTTCCCACCTTCGACCCCCGTCCCCCGCCTTTCCCACCCCCTGGGCAGGATGGCAGGGTGCCGTAAAGGGGGCCGCGATGCACCAAGGGACTCGACCTGCTCGGGAGCCCCGGCCTTATTCTGGAGCTCCCCTCCCGCGCTACCCCCTGCGCCCACTCCTCAGCCATCGCCGTCCTCGGGCACTTCCGGGGCGGCAAGGCTGGCCTCACCCGGAATACGTTCCTCCTCCTTCCCGGGATCCTTTCGTCGTCGGTTCCTCCGCCCTTCCCGGGTGACAAGCGAGTTAGGTTAGAGGCCGCAGGCGGGTAGCGAGCGCCTCTAGGTCACCACAGTCCTTCCTACGGAGCCTCCGCTTCCTCGGAGCCCCCTCGGGCGCTGTGGCTAGCCTGGGTCATCGCCACTTCCCGAAGGTCCCTCTTTGAAGTGGTTCCCTCCGGAAACCACTTCCTGTCACTTGTTGCTCGGGGAGCAGGCCCCCGGAGAGCCGAAGGAAAGAGAATTCTAGAGTGTCTTGAGAAAGGATGATTTTTCACAGACGTGCGGCAATTTGCTCTCCCAGATTCTGCGGTCTCACGGGATCGAAGGAGGGATCAATTATGGGAACTTAGTACGAGCAGTCTGAGTTTCCGGAGGGTCCAGTCGCACAAGTAGCACAACCCGGAAGCGGCCGGTCTGGGAGCTGTCCTGGGTTCTCGCCGCCGCCGCCGGAGTTTCGGCGTTTCGAAGCCGCTGCCCCCTACCAGCTCCAGGCCGAGCCCCCGACCCTCACAGCCGCCATGTCGTCAGACTTCGAAGGCTACGAGCAGGACTTCGCGGTGCTGACCTCAGAGATAACCAGCAAGATTGGGAGGGTCCCCAAACTCTCTCCAGGTGAGCACTGGAGCCCGGCGGGGAGCCTTAGCCGGGCGGGCAGGGAAGGAGGGACGGGAGGAAGGGCTGGGCGTGCGGAACGCCGGAGACAGAGACCCAGAGGATCCCAGGGGTGGGGACTGAAGCTAAGGAGGGAAGCTACAGTCCATCCCTCACCCGGGAAGGGCTGCATGGGCAGCTTGAGCAGGGAATTTGTGTCCGCTTCGCTTCTGCTGCCGTCTTGTATCTGTCTTGACCCCAGTCATTGGCTGCACGATCCACCCCCCCATGGCTGCCAGGTGAATATCTGCAAAGCACGGCTCTGATCTCCTTCACTGCCCTGCCGGCAAAGCTTCAGCGACTCTACGTGGCATAGGTGACAAAAGTTCAAACTTCTAGGACATCCTGGCACTTTAGGGACCGCTGTGACCTGACTACGAACTCTTTTGCCATCCTGACCTTGCACTGCTCCCTCTCAGTGCTCCAGACTCCAGCCAAAGTGAACACTTCCCAAGATTTTCCACCTCTTTGCTTTTGTTTTTGGAATACTCTTAGCCTTCCCATCCTTACCTGACGTCTTAAAGGCATAGTTCAAAAAGGACTCCTTTATGAAGATGAATGTATGCTGGATACATGGTCACAGGACATAAGTTCAAATGCTTTCTTTGCTTCTTAATGCCTGTGTGACCTTGGGCAAGTCACTTAATCTCTCTCAGCCCTAGTTTTCCTCATCTGGAAAATGAGGGGGTTGAACTACATGGTCCCTGAGATACCAGCCATCTCTTTATGTCTGTGATTCTAATTAAGATTCTTACTAGTTTTCTCCTCTCCTGCTCCCCCCCCAAAAAAGCGCCAAAATGTGATCCCTCATTCTTTTAATAATATAACACTCAACTCTTCCTATACAGTTAAATTCTGATTTCATAATAATGACCACAATATAATTTTATTTCCCTTATTAAAGCTGTAAAATCCTTGAAGGTAAGGACCGTGTGGTTTGTTTGTTTTTTGTATGTTTGTATGTGTGGTGTTAAATATCAATTTTTTGTTGTTGTTTCAGTTGTGTCCAACTCTTCATGACCCCATTTGAGATTTTCTTGGGTAAGACACTGAAGTGATTTGCCATTTCCTTCTCCAGCTCATTTTACAGATGAGGAAACTAAGGCCAACAGGGTTAAATAACTTGTCCAGGGTTACACAAGTAGGAAGTGTCTTGGATTTGAACTGGTAAAGATGAGTCTTCCTGATTCCAAACCCAGTGCTCTATCCACTGTGCCACCTAAATGCCTGAGTATTAATTTTCCTAGTGGCAAATCCAATCTCTATTCCTATCTTTTTCCTTGCAACCCAAAAATGCCTCCTAAGTCTGAAAAAAAGTTTGAGTAATTCTTTTCCTTCTTTATCCTTCTTTCTCCTTACCACCCGTTTTCTATTAATAGGGATATTTGCTTGAAACCAGGATCTCTGACCTTTCACCTCACTCCTCTCCTGCAGGCCCATTTAGTTCTTGTGGAAATGGCTGGTATCTCAGATAGAAATATGATTCCAAGTAAGGTAACAAGAGGGCCAAAGCAAGGTAGTATATTTCACCCAGTTCTTCTGTTGCATGAACTTTATGGAGGGAGTAGCTGATGGCCTGAGCATTTCATGATGCATCATTCAATTCTTCTTACCAGTTCTGCTTTCTTCAATGCTCATGAACATCCTAATTCCTGTGGGCTTCCTTCTTCTCTTTCCTAATCCCTCACTGTGGTAGTGGTGGAGATTATTTTGAATTGATTCCCAGAGTCTGGGAATAACAGGATTTATTGTTTCATTTAGATTTTGTTTAACTATAAGAATTTGAGTGCTAGAAGATTCATTATTTTATTAATGACTAATGTATAAACTAAATGGAACGATATTGGAAGACTATATAAAATATTCTGAAGTGACAAAGTAGCAAAAACATTGCTGAACTACAGGAATTGTGAAGGCAATTTTTTTTCAAGAAACAAATACTTTATCAGTGGCAATATTTTTCCCTTTGTAATTTTGTGTTAACATTTTAGAATGGTTCCTACAAACAACAGAAGAAAGCCTTTGCAGGAGAAGCTATGCGTTTTTATATCTGTGACCCAAACATAGCAGGTATATAACATGAGTAATACCATGGCATGGTAGAAAGAGTGCTGGAAGTGCAGATAGGAGATCTTGATTTGAATACAGCCTGAAGCACCAGTAAGTATTTGAACATGAGCAAGTCACTTAATTTCTTAGATTTACAGTTTCCTCATCTGTAAATTGGGAATGAGAGGCAGTATGGTATAATGTGGACAGAGGGCCAGCCTTGGAGTAAGGAAGACCTGGGTTCAATTAAGTATTACTTCAGATACATATTAGCTATGTGACTATGGGAAAAGTCAATTAATCTCTCAATGTCCCAGACTACTCTCTAAGAATGTAAATTACCCATGACTTGGTGATATTCATCATTGGAGAGAGTTTCCATCCTGGAAATTTCCTACAAAGGTGAAATCACAGATCTAGACACTCTTCTTCCTGCCTCTCTTCTCTTCTTCTGACCACCCATCCTTCCCCTCCTCCACCACACACGGTGAAGATAATGAGGGTTGTTGTTAGAAAAGCACTTTAACACACTTTATAAACTCACCTTAATATGAGTTGTTAAAAGGAGAATGTATATTAGACTTTATAATATTAAGCACATATGATATTCAATAATACATAATGAACTAGACAGTGTCATTGTATGATCTTTTCTTTAAAGGTTCATTCTGTAGTGTTGTATGTACTGCCCCCTTGTCTTTTCATCAGTAAAGATAAATAAAAATACTTACTGGGAATAGGTGGGAGAAGCCAGGAAGAAAAATACTATTTCTAAAAAGTCATCTGAAGACCATTTGTAGTTAGTGAATACAGTTGTGGGGAACAACAGTGTGTTAGTCTTTATCCTTATCATTTAAGGGGTAGTGAGATGAAATTAGCTAAGAAAATGTGTTGTAAACAATATCAACCTTAGTGAATGTTCTAGATGTTATGATATAGGAGATCTGAAGTTGATGAATAAATCCTTCAACCAAAGCAACTCATTCTTACAGACTGGATTAGTAAAATTAACAACAGTATCCATTCTTTGTGAATATTATACCTTGTATCCAAGTATCCAAATGAGAAAATAATCTTTACTTTAAAACTTCATTTTAAAGAAGCAATGATTCGATTACCATATTGCATAAGCCTTAGTAATGGGGACAATCATAATAAACAATTTTTTTTCCATAAACGGAAGTCTCTTTGTGTTACGAATTGGAAGTGGGTTCAATAGTCAAACTAATTTGGAAGGTTGGACCCTTTTTTGCTAAATACTTATTTGGAAATAATTTTCCTTTGGAGGAAAAAAAAAATCCATTGGTGGTGGCAATGGAAACAATTTAGAGATCTTTCACATGTATCCTGAGCTGGTTGGTAGAGATTTAGTTAACAGTTGAAGTCTCATCAGTTGATGTTCATTTTTTTACTAAGTGAGCAAGGTGGCACAGTGGATAGAGCACTAGGCCTGGAATTAGGAAGACCTGAGTTCAAATTCAGCCTCAGATACTTACTAGCTCTATAACCCTGAGCAAGTCTCTCATCTGTAAAATAGGGATAATAATATCAACTCTGTCCCAGGATTGTTGTGAAGATCAAATGAGATAATAATTGAAAAGTGCCTAGCACATAGTAAGTGCTGTATAAAGGTGTTTTGTTTTGTTCGTTTTTTCCCTCCTACCTATTTGAGTCTATTGTGGTCATGGGAAAGTTTCTTTGCTTTTTGGTAAGGGCTTCTAAAGAATATCAAACAAAGGATTCTAATGAAGTCTGCCACACATGATATGATGAAGATGAGTCTTATGTGTGTGCTGAGTTGGATTTGCCTGTATTATCCACTGTCTTAAGGAAATAAACGACTTAATATGAAACCCCATTGTGCTGTGACTAGAGTCTAAAGCATATTAAAGATTAATTGCTGCTATGTACTGCATGGGGTTAGCTAGAATTGATTTCCTCAGTCTTTGTGATACCAGCTCATCTTTTGCAGAAGCCCTGGAACCCTATCCCTGCATTTCCTTTTTTGTGAATAAAGCTGGTTGAATTCCCTAGTGTTGAGTACCAACAGTTCAAGAGAGAAGAAGGGTGATCATTGACTCTTAGACTGTACTGGAACTGAACTGATATCCCACTAAATTATGTTGGGGAAGGGTTGGAATTATAGGGTAGCATATGGTAACTACATTCCCAAGAGTAGGAAGATATTCAGATGAAATCTAATGTTTATTTTTTTTCTCACAAGTTATCCTCTTTGACCTCTGTAGAATTTTATTCTGTTTACTATCTCTTCTTAATATGTTTCCTTGGTTTCAGAAGTACCACATTCAACAAGTACATGTCAACATGTCTCCTCTTACCTCTCTGACTATTTCTTTTCTTTCTCCTTTACTGGTTTTTCTTCCTTACCTCTTAAAGGAATTGATGCCCAAGGTTTTGACTTTGTTCCTCTTCTCTTTCCGATTTTCTCCTTAGACAATCCTCTCCATGGCTTCAATGACTATTTTTATTGAGCTGACTTCCAAAACTTCTGAACTCTGGATCCACATTTCTAACTGCCTTGTAGATATTTTCACTTGAATGTCCTTGTGGCACTTCACACTCAAAATACATCAAAAATAGAAACTATATTTCCCTTAAATTCTATGATTCTTTTTGATTTTCCATTCACCTAATCACCCCTGTTCGAAATATGCATGGTGTCTTTGCCTTTTAAAAAGAGAAGAGAGAGAAGAGAAGAAATATAAAGAGAAAGAGAAAAAATAAAGAGAAAAAATTAGCATCAATACAGACTCTTTCCTCTCTTACTCCACATATCTAATCAGTTGCCAAATGGTATTCTTATCTTCACAACATCTTTAATATATGCCCACTTTTCTCTACCCACACAGCTACCACTATTTTTCAAGCTTTCATCAACTCTCATCAACCAG